TGTTTTGAATATCGCCTGGGCTTCGTGGCGGGTGGGTTTTATTATTCCCCGCCGCCATTTCCCGCAGGATTCGCTTTCCATTAACTGAGGTACAGTGCTGGCCGGGCTGACTGATGGGATTTTGGAACTGGCACAAAAGGAATGAATTAGGTCGCCCTGGTTGGGACTGTTGCTCACACATGCAGAACAGACACAAACAAGGCAAGAAACGAAAAAGTGATGTAAGACAAAGTAGCACACATACATGAGTTGACAGCACTGGAAGAAGACGGAAAAATATGTATAGGGAAGGTTTAAATTGGATCTGTGTCTGAGGAGAAGGAGGAAGAGGACTCTGTGTCATCTGTGTTGACTCTACTACTTAAGCTGACAGTATGGGAGGTTTATTCAAATAGCAGCCCGCGGGCTTTGAGAAACTATGTGAATCCCAATTGGTGAATAATGTCAAAACTCTACACTGAAACCGGCCATGAATGTAACACTCTCTGTAGCCTAGCAACATGCAGTGTTAGCAGCTGACCTTATAGTAATTCAAAATTTTCAGACAAGTACGCAACGACTTGTTGTGTGTTTTCGGCCCAAATCCAGGTGATAAGCCACCCGACTAAATGTATAATTAATCAGCCTCGCTCTCGATGATGAGCCAGGCCTCCTGGTCTCCAGGGTGTGCTGAAGGAAATGTGTTGGGCCTCCAGCCAGAGGGCTTTCACACCAGTTCTGGGAGGGACCCACGACTGTGAGCCGTAGCTGTGTACAGGAAATATATGGGCTGGAGCTTTTTGTGAGCAGGCCGTCCAGATGTTCTATTCAGAGTGGACGAGTGATTCTTTAAAGGGGTGTGTGTGTGTGTTTGTTTTTGTTGGTGGTACTGTGTATATTCAATAGCTATCCATCCCTCTCTCCTGGCCGTTAGAGGGGACAGTATCAAGCCCTATTGTTTCTAATCAATTAGCTCTCCGTGCTAATGGCCCTTTGATTGCCGAGTTCATTTAGCCGGTGGAGAACAACGGCGGCAGCAAGGTGTCTTTTCATCCACTCTGCCACCCATATTGTCTTCGCTGCTGGAGGGAAGTGAATGGAGATTGTCTTTGAAAGATGAGGTTTGTTTGGCAGAACAACATTGGTTTGCTTTTCACCCTGATGTCCACAAACGCCACACCACTCAGAGCCAGGAGGACCGAATAAAAAAAAATAAAAAAAAGAAGTAGGTTCTTGAGTGATTAACCTGATGGAGCGGCAGGAGGAGACAAATGCAGGGCTACATTGATTCCACTATTATAATGAGTAGAGTTCAATCATGTCAAATCCACTGGGGCTTTTGAGCACCATTAGAGGTCAGTGCCTCTGAATGGCACAGGCAACAACAATCCATGAATGATCTATTTAATGTACTCATATAAAAATACAGTGGTTGACAAATTGACATGTGAGTGCTTTCCTAGAATCTCCCAGCCTTGGTCCACCATTTCCTTGATGTGGATGTTGCTAATTATATGGTCAGCACAAACCCACACACACAAACACTCTCCCTCCACCCCTCCAAAACCCTACTTTGTCTGTGGCCTAATTATTTTAGCTTTTACCCAGTGAGTGAATTTACCTCTCCTGTTCCAGTCTCATTCGATGGGTGTCATCTTCCGACGCCTGCATCTCCTCAGTTTTGGACTTACTGGAGCCCTTCCTCTCCATCCGTTCTCCTGGTCGCTCATCCTTCTTTTGCTTTCCAAACCTGTGTTTTTTTTTTTTAAACAAAAAAGGCAAAAGTTAATTTAATTCCAGGCCAGACTTCACTGGTTTCTCATCTAATAGTGACATTTCTTTTTTTTTTCACTTCTGCATGTCCCTTCTTTTGCGTCCATAAATTACATTTTGATTACTAAGTAGGAAATTAACATGTCAAACTGTCAAGATTGTCACCGTGAGTTGTGCAGAGGTGACAGCTCAGGATCAGCTTCACCTGAGTCCTGTTTTGTAATTAAACAAGGAAAGTAGTCTGAGTCACATTAATGCACCATGTCATTTCAATATATATATACATAAATATATATATAAATATATATGTATATATATGTGTATATATATAAATACATATGCATATAAATAAATATATGTATATACACATACTAACTCACAACAAGCACGTTGTATTATACTTTACTTTTCCAATACCATACAGGCAAAAATATTTGAGGGATTCAGGAAAAAAGGCCATGATATAAAACTGCAGCTGTGCGGGAAGAACAAAGTCACAGGACACAGAAAGAAAAATTAATTTAAGGCAAACAATCACACTTTACACAATGAGAAGGAAGCAAATGTGTGGAACATCCACGGGTGATTTAATGTAAAGATCTTCAAATTATCTGCGCCGGTTCTCAATTCGCAGCCTCAACTAGAAAATTAATGAAGTACAAGTTATTTTGACATCATATCTCCACAGTACATTCTCATAACCTGCGTAAAACCCCTATATAATTAAAGATAGCAGATTATTTAATGAAAGAGGTCGGGGGGGTTGCTCGTTGCACCGACGCCAATATTACAATTAAGATTATTCCAGATACTCGTAATCATGCCAAGCCTTTGGGTCATTGCGTATTAAATAATAGGTTTGAGCAGGTTTTATCAAAGGGGATATACTGTATTCAAACCAAATGAGATCTTTAAAAAATGATGCAATTAATAGTCTGGGAGAATCATGGGCTGTAAAAAAAAGAATTTAGGTACAAAATGTTATTGATAGAAACGCTCAATTAATACTTGCAGAAAAGGTTTTTTTATATATATAAATGGAAAAATTCCTAAAAGCAGAAATGCTGAGCTACAAACACAACATGAACAACTACTGCAAATAAGAACGCACACATGGCATGCAGCTGCGACCAGCCTCTGATAGCTATTTGCTCTTTGTGTGACCAGCTCCTGTTTGAAATCTCAATTAACAATGTAGGGCAGCCCTCTTGTCCTTCTCTTTTCCTAACAATGACTTTTGGGCAGGCGGAAATTAGGTCACCCAGGAATGCTGCCCGGCTAAGAAGAAATTCAATAAATATAATCACGGAATAGGGTTTTATTTAGTGCTTATATTCCACAGCATCACTCTGTACTCTTGCATTGAATGCACAGACATTGATTACAATATTCCGCGGGGGCTTTATTCAGCAGACCTGTTCATTTCTAGACAGCAGCAGGCTTTGCATTCTCTGCTCTCAACTCCTGAGTTTATTTTTACCTATTCATAGTTAAAGCTTTATTTGACAGTTTGCAAACTTTTTCAGAAAAGCTTAAAAAAAAAAAAAAAGAAGAAGAAAATCACTTCAGACGACTATGACTTTGGGCCGGTAGAAGTGAATAAATTCATGAAACCAGAGATTGTTTCCCGCGTGGACTTTTTTTTTTATATACAAAAGCAGGGCCTTTGTGCAAATGGCATCTCTGTGGTGGCAGCGGACGGCTTTGGAAGTGTAATCTTCCGGATTGGCTGAGGCCTGGTGGGAGATCTTACTTTGTGGTTACACAGAAAGCCCATCGGAGCCAGCGATGAGTGATATGTGGCTCCTTTTGAAACACGGAGAGAATACATTACCTGATTAATTAATTAACCAATGGCTTTATTAAGTAATAAAACTCCACGCTGGGGCCAGGAATTCTAATAATAGAAAACCAGCTTTATATCACATGGGCAGGAGGCAGCTTCTTTCAGCTCATTACCGAGACTATAATTAACTTCTTAAGGAGACGTCTCCTTGGTTGTCCTCTCCCTTGGTCTCGACAATAGTTTTACTGAGGGGTCTGTCCTCAGCACTACTTTGTCTCTGAGATTTTAAACAGTCAAACACGCAGGGTGAATAAATTGAGCAGGACCCCGGACATGCATGAGGTCGCTCATTAAAAGCCATTGATAGATGGTCAGAGAGATAGCTGTCGGTTATTGATCGAAATCCCTCAATAGGCTGTTAAAAAAGGCCCCACGATAACCTTTGACCTTTGAAAAAACATGTCCGCATTTGGATATCCTTACATCTGTACATGCCCTAATGAAACATTTATATGGGCTGTACGTTCGACAACCCTTCGATCGCGTATTTGAAAAAGTGTAGGTTATATATCCATAATTATGGAATTGTGGAATAAGTTTCTTGTAGTTAATCACTACAACTAATAAGATGCACAAACTGTTTGATTTACTAACAGGACAACAGCAAAGAGTTCAAACTTGGGAAATTTATTAAAAAAAAAAAGAAAGAAAAGCTGACGTCCTCACCTGTCTCCAGGAGACAAGTGCTTTGTCATTTGGGGGGAAAAAAAGAGACACGGTGTGTCTCAGGAGGGAAGAAATAAACTCAGTCATGTCGATCTGTGTCAGGTGGGAAGAAATAAACTCAGTCATTCTGTGTTCAGCCAGTACTGGCACATTGGCATTTATCAGGGCCGGCATCAGAATACTTGTGCTGAGAGTGAGGTTGTTGAAGCTTGATAATAAGGTATTGATTGGTGGCCCAGACCTATGCATGGAATGACAACTACACTGCAGCACGGAGTCTTGTTTTGACCTGAAGTACTGCCGTCTGTACAGCTAACTCATATGGGTGAAAGTCTAACTCTGAATGCTAGAAAAGTACTAGAAAAGTACTACTACTCCATATTTATATATTGTTTTATTCAAATAAAGTATAAAATAAATAAATAACTATTCTTTCAACTGGGTTCATTTTATCATGGTCATTTACAAAGTAACGTAGATTTATAATCGTTATTTTAATGATGGCAAAAAGTCAACGGGGGGAGAGTTGAGGTGAGCGGACGCACAAACACAGTTCCCTGTTGTCCCTGTCCAGTGCAAGGGCATGTCAATACAAAGTGCATTATTTCTGCCCTGTGCTCCACCTGGGGCAAAACCCTGACAGTGGCAATGCAATTTTAATAGCCCCTTGTTAGAAAGGTGAGACCGTTGGAGTGTTGCCGAAGGTGTGGTAAACAGTCTCTGATCCAGGTAACATTCAGAGACACCTCATTAAAAATCCAATTACGTTAGTCAAAGAAAGGAAACAATCGGGACGTTCTTTTTCCTTATTTATGAATCACACAGCGCCCAGCGATCGTTAGCAGGCTGTAACGGGGCGTCGCGGGGACTTTGGACTTCGCATTATGTTGCCAGGACTGTTTTGCAGGAACAACCACCCCAGAGAGGTATACAGGTAAGTTCCCCATCGTTCCTGTCGCTTGGAGCAACACCAACCGATTTTGACCTTCCCTGCGGAACTCATTAACTGTAACCTGCAATGTCAGTCAGTGGGGTCCCTGCCTAGCCTGGTTTCGTAAACTAGAATTTTCTAGTAAAACTTAAATTTGATTAATCTTTCAAAAAGTTGAAAAAAATGTTGCTCGGGGAAAAAAAAAAAGCTGCATGATATTGTGACTCATATATATATATATATATATATATATATATATATAAGATAGCATACAAAATCATTCCTCGTCTGGCTGTAGCTTCAAAAGGAGGGACGGAACTTAATTATTTGACCAAGTGTCCAACAACATTGGAGAAAAACACCAGAGGACTGGAGTCGAGATGGTTTACAGTGGGTGGGAGAGTGTCATTTTCTGCATTGTAGAGGCATGAAATGCATTTATTCATAACATCAGGCCGTGCCCTAGCAGGCGAAGGCACCACAGGCATGAGGAGATAAAATGATTCTCACCAAAAAAAACCCCTCCATGACTCTTAAGTTCCCCAGCTGAGTGTTGAAGACTCTCATACCAGGAGGAAACAGGGCGTCAGTCATACTGTGCTGTGAGCAGACAGATGAATTGTCCACCGTCTGTTATTGTGAATGGCTCTAAATAATTTATCACAGCTAATATCGCCGTCCCCACCTTTTGTCGGCATGAATGTGTTATTGTATGGAAATTAGGAGGATTTCTCATGGCTGGAATTCAAATTACATGATCATCCAAGGGTATTCATTTGAAAAAAAAAAATTTCCTGTCCTTCCAAATACTTGGCCATTCCCTCTTTACACCTGAATGTATCTGTCTGTACTGTGTGTTTGTCCAGTTGTCTTTTCTACGACTGTAGTTCTCCTCTCGCTTATGTGACTTGTCCAGCTGTTTTGTTGACACAAACAACCATAGAGATAGTGCAGTCTCTTTTCCCATTCCTACTGTCAGTTTCGGGACAAAGAAGACAAAAAAAAAACATATGTACGAGAAAAATTGTCACTCGCCCGGGGGTATTTTCTGTTAGTAACCCAGACAAATATCTATGTCTCTGAGAGTGTGCGTGCGCAAGTATGTCTGAAATAGGGAGAGAGGGAGAGGAGATTTTTTCTACAATTCCAGCTACAGTGTAAAAAATACTGGAAAATTATTATTATTATTATTTTAAATGAGTCATAAATGGTGGGGATTACTGATACTTTAAAGTCTTCATTTTAAAATGCTGTTGTGGTCAGTTGATCACTTCTGTAAAGTATGTGCTGGTTTGAATAAAAATAGCAATTTTTAATACAAATCCCAACAATAAACCGTGCAGGTTTATGCACAGGTCAGGGTCTTGCAATTCATGGCTTCAGAAAATAAACATTAATCATCACGTAGACCATTCATTTATATATCCAAACTAAAGCCCTTCTGTATGTATGTGTGTGTGCCTGTATATCAGAGGAAAGCTCGGCTTGTCCATATTTCATAGCAGCTTGTGTAATACAAAGGACGGGGACCAGC